AAAAAAAAAAAAAAAAAAAAAGCAGCCAGGGAGGCAGGATGCGGAGGGGAGATTTTTTTCCTCTTTAGAAATTTGGCTTCTTTCAGACACAGGCAAGGAAATACTCCATTGTTGCTAAAGCCCAAGTCCAAGTTGGTGACCGTGGACTGGCATTGCAGCAGCTGTTTCTGACGGTTCAGCTAGATTAGGGCAGTGTTGAATGCATGACGCAGCTGTTCTTGCCATGGGAAAGCCTTGCCCCAAGTGCTCTAGGGCAGTGGTTCTCAAAGTGGGGGTCCCTGGCCAGCAGCATAACATCACCTGGGAACTAAGAGATGCAGAGTCTCAGGCTCCAACCCAGATCTTCTGAATCAGAAACTCTGTGGGGCGGAAGGAGAGGGGGAGGAATCCGTGTTCTAACAAGCCTCTGTCAGATTCTGCTGCACAAATTTGAGAACCTGTGTTCTTGGGAGATCCTTGAAAAGAAAAAAGAGGAAAGCTCCAATAACTTATAATCCATATATTTCACCTTGGCAGAAACCAGATGGAAGAGTAGTTCTCCACCCTGGCTGCCCACTGGAATCACAGGAGGACCTGTGAAAACTACTGATGCCTGAGTCCCATCCTCAGAAATTCTGGTTTCATTGGATTGGGGTTGGCCTGATCATTTGATTTTTGAAATAAGGATTTGAATGGGGACTAGTTGATTAAATGAATGGTTGGCTTCTGAATACTTCTGAGTACAAAATCGTACTTGGGGGAGAAAACAAGGCAGGCTTTGAAGGGGAGGGTCAAGACAAATGGAAGAGAAGCTAGACCTTAGGGCCTTGGTGAACACCAGTAAAGCTTGAATAATTCTGGAGGTTGTGGTGGGGGGAGAAGGTAGTCTGAATTCATAACAATTCTTAAGGGTGGACTTATTTTCAAAGAGATGCCAATTATAAAGTAGATATGCCGTCAAGGCTGCTCCCTGAATAAAGTGTCACTGTGATTTTTACTCAGTCTTCATGGAAATGATTCTGCTAATTCTGGTTGAAAACAATATGCTGACATCCTCCTGGCAGCTCCGCTGAGACTGTATCTGTATGTTAAGAATGTACTCTGACCCTCTGGCCTCTCACCTCGCTGTTTCCCCTTTGCTCCATGAACGTTCCTCCCCTGCTGACGTAGTCAGTTTACCGGTCCCCAAGCCTTCTCTGTTCCCATGTCCTGGTATTTGTTGACACCTCCTCCTCCTCTAAGTGAGGGCCTAGCTCCTTCTAGAATCCTCCATGGACCCCACCACTTCAGAGAGCTCCCCTTTCAGCACCCAATGTCTTTAAGGCACTCTGCTCCTATTTTGTTTTCATCATTCTACCTATTTCCCATCTCTGCCCCTGGATCATAACCCCACCCCCGCCACGGCCGCCTCAGGACAGTGATGGTTTGTAACTCTTTGCCTCCTGTCTAGCACAGCACCCCACACTCTATGGGCTCCACAAACTGTAGGCAAGAAACTCCAAAAGTGAATTTCGTTCCGTCTTCTTCCCACCTCAAAATGGGGGGCAGATGAGAAGGCACCACCCCTAATGAGGTATGACTGTGGTTTGGCCCTTCTTGAGGACAGAATCCATAGGAAGCATGCCAGGGTGGGAACCCCAAAAGGAGCATCCTCCGGAGTGAGACGTGGCCCTCATAGGCAGGGCTCTCACCATCTCATTAGTCCCTGTTGCTTTATATTAGTTTCCTAGGACTGCCGTAGCAAAATCACCACATACTTGGTGGTTTAAAATAATAGAAATCTGTTCTCTCACAGTTCTGGAGGCCAGACGTCTGAGACCAGTGTCCCTGGGCTGAAGTCAAAGTGTCGGCCAGGCCGTGCTCCCTCCAGAGGCTCTAGGAGAGATCCTTCCCTGCCTCTTCCAGCTTCTGGTGGCACCGCCTTCCTTGGCTCGTGGCCGCATCACTCTAACCTCCGCCTCCCTGGTCACGTTTCCTTCTCCTCCCTTCTCAAATCGCCTCTGCCTCCCTCTTATAAGGACATCTGTGACTGCCTTTAAGGCCCACTCTGGTGATCCAAAATAATCTCCCCAACTCAAGATCCTTAACTTAATCACAGCCGTAAAGTCCTTTTTTGCCATCTAAGGTAACATTCACACATTGAGGGATTAGGACATGGATACCTTTGTCGGGGGGGGGGAGGGGGGCATGATATAACCCACCACACATACCAGGGTAACTGGAGCCTGCAAAGGGACAGAGACTTGTCCAAGGTCGCACTTCAAGGTCATAACAGAAATTAGACAGAGACCCAGATCTCCTTTCTGTCAGTTTTGGGCTTCTCCCACTAGACCAAGCTGACGCCTCTAAAAGTAAGACAGACAGATTTTAGAATAACACTTCGTACCCTGACTGCTTCATCTTCCCTCCGGAATGTGTGCTGCTAGGGCCCTTGAGCCCCGGTTCTGTTACTTTGGTGACCTGTGTGGGCAGCTGCAGCGGAATTCACTAAATGGCATTTCCTCGTCTCCTTTCAGGACCGCCTCTTTTTCGTCATGGAGTATGTAAACGGTGGAGACCTCATGTTCCAGATTCAGCGGTCCCGAAAATTCGACGAGCCTCGTTCCCGGTTCTACGCTGCGGAGGTTACGTCAGCCCTCATGTTCCTCCACCAACATGGAGTCATCTACAGGTGCCTCTCCCCTCCTCCTCTCTTCCCCAAAAGCGAACAAATAAAGAGCTTTCCGGATGCTTGGACTGACTTGGCTCCTGCCCCACCGGTCTCTTAGCAACCCGCTTTAGATTAGTTGTTTGTTCCAATTTGCTTACAGAGGGCTTTTTGGGGGGCTGTTTATCACTGTGAATGTTAATATTTGAATGGCCCCGGGAGATCTGACCCACTGTTTGTGCCAGTTTTGATTGAAAGCTTAAGCACGACATTTTAAAGCCTCGGCGCCAAGTAACCTTGGGGTGACCTTCGTTTCTCTCTGCCCCACCCCCTACCCTCTTCCTTGACCATCAGGGCATTCTCTTTACTTTTTCCTTCTGTGCCATGAACTTCCTCCCCTTCCCAACCTCTTGCCACTTCCTGAGTTTGTTTGGCTTAGTTGTCTCCAGCAGATAGAATCGGAGATGGAGGAGTTCCTAGCGGGTCTCAGGGTTTATGATCTTGGCGGGGAGGAGGGGAGGGGAACTAGACAATATCCAACAGGAAGTGACTCTCTACAGATCATCCAGTCCCTTATTACTGCCTTGTCCCCCTTCCAAGAAAACATAGAATGAACACACACACACACAAACACACACACACACACACACACACACAGAGAAATTTTCCAGTAAGAGAACGAGACTACGCAGGCTCTTCTGTGAGGTCAGGAATTCTGGGAGGAGTAAATATTTATAATTAGCAACAAGGACACTAAAGTTCCTTAAGGTTTTTTCAATGACTGTCAATTTCTTTACTCAGATTTTGCTTCCTCCTTTTTTTTTTTTTTTTTTTTTTTAAATTGGGTAGAATAGCTGGCTTGGTTCAACCCAGAGCTAATCCCTCACCAGAACTTCACTGACCTGCTCCCGGGAGCAATGCCCTGACTAAGTGTTCTCCAAGGGGTTCTGACCAACCCTCACCAGCTCCCTAAAGTCCCTCTGCTCAGAAATAGTCAGTGGCTCCCTATGGCCTGCATAACAAAGCCCATACTTTTTTTTTTTGTGGCCTCTCCCATTTGTGGAGCACAGGCTCCGGACGCGCAGGCTCAGCGGCCACGGCCCACGGGCCCAGCCGCTCCGCGGCACGCGGGATCCTCCCGAAACGGGGCACGAACCCGCGTCTCCCACACCGGCAGGCGGACTCTCAAGCACTGCGCCACCAGGGAAGCCCAAGCCCATACTTTTTAGCCTGCTTTCATGGCCCTCCACGACAGAGGACTCCATGTATTTGTTTCCTGTTACTGCATAACAAATTACCACAAATGCAGTGGCTTAAAACAACACCCATTGATTTTCTCACAGTTTCCACGAGGCAGGAGTCCAGGCAAGGCACACCTGGGTTTCTCTGCTGTGATCGAGGTGTCAGCCAGACTGCATTCTTATCTGAAGTTTGGGCTCCTCTTCCAGGCTTAACACGGTTGCGGGCAGAATTCATTTCCTTGGAGCTGGAGCATTCACGTGGCTTCCTCAAGGCCAGCAGGAGAGAAAGTCTTTCCTGCTTTGAGTCTCTAACTTCAGGGAGACCTGGACCCTCTTCGAAACAGATCATTTGATTAGATTGGGCGCAGCCAGGCTAATCTCTCTTTTGTTTAACTCAAAGTCAAATGACTTAGGGACTTTAATTATACATGCAAATCCCTTGGCCCTTGCCCTCTAATGTCATATAATCTCAATAGTGATATCACATCCCTTTTCCACATTGTTTTGGTTGGAGGTAAGTCACAGTTTCTCCGCCACCTTATTATACAAGGGGAGGGGGTATGAGATTATACCAGAGTGTGACATCTTGGGGGTCACCTTAGGTTATGTCTACTACAGCCCAGAACACCTTTCTCCCCTCACTTCCCATGATCTCTTGTTCTTTTTGGGTTTTTTGTTTGTTTGTTTGTTTGTTTTTGCGGTACGCGGGCCTCCCGCTGCTGCGGCCCCTCCCACTGCTGCGGCCTCTCCCGCTGCGGAGCACAAGCTCCCGGACGCGCGGGCACAAACCCGCGTCCCCCCGCATCGGCAGGCGGACTCTCAACCACTGCGCCACCAGGGAAGCCCCCCATGATCTCTTGTCTTGAGCCTACCAAGGTTCTTAGCTTTCCTCAAACTCACCTGCCAACTCCCAACTTCCTCATTTTTCTGCTCTGCTCTCCACCTCCTCTGTCCAGCCCAGAAGCCTCATGCAAAACTGCCTGCCGGCTGGAAGCCTGGTCCCACCAACCAGAGCAAGTCTCTCCATCCACCACACTTTATTTGCAATTTGGGAATGAACTGCAAGTTGAAACTAATTGCTGCACCTGCCACTCTTCACCTTGTGTTAGGGTCGGGCATCCATGTGGGTCCTTCACTAAGTCCCACCCTCTCCGTTAGGGCCATGGCTGCTTCTTTTTAACCCTTTGATCTTCTAATTTTACATCCTCTTCTAATCTTGCCCGTAGTAAATGGTCAACAAATGACCATTGGCTTCAATTAGTTTAAAACCCTAATGTCTGCCCCCAAAACTGGTTGCAGGCTAGTTAGAGATACCGGGGTTAGATACCCATACTACAAGGCAGTGCACTGTTAGGTGCCAGTGACAAGAAGAATTGTCATTCATTGATATATCATCCCCATCCCCTCCCTGTTAGAGTGGGTATAATCATCCACAGTTTACCAGCAGGGATTCAGGGACTTCCCTTAAATAATTTGCCCCAGGCTGGTAAGTGACAGACTTAGGAAGTGTAACTGATCAGCAAGCTCGTGCTGCATACACGTCATGACACTTGCCATGGGGCTCATCAAATCAAGTCCACACTTTACTAGTCATTCCAGGTACTCCAAAACTTGACTTTTGCTTACATGTCTGGTTTCTTCTCATTTCTGCTTCCCTCGTTGAATGCTTCCCTCGTTGAATGCTTCCCTCTCATCACACCTGAGAGCACTTTTGTTCTGTTGACGTCTGTGAGCCATACATGCCCGCTCTCTTTCTCTCCTTCGCATCTCCTTGACCATTTCTCTTCAATCTCTGTATCACCTGGCCTGGCCCTTCTCCCCTCCACCCGCATCTTCTAAATGCTGGGTTCTCCCACGGCCTTCATCCCCAGATACTCCTCCTGAGCTATTTCAGCATTCGCATATGCCTCCAAATGACGCCTGTATGCCCGTGACTTCCATATCACTCTCTCCAGAACCCCGCACGAGATCTCTCTCTTTCAAGACAAGCTCCAAGGCCTCCTTCCGTCTTCCCTGGCTAGTTTGCAAGAATTTCTTGACGTGACTCACTCACTGCCTCTCGGTTTTCTGCCCTTCTGTCTGTCTACCTCCCTCTCCATCGCTGCCCCGTGTTCTTTCAAAGCACGGGCTGATTGTCACAGGGTCCCCTTCTTAGCGTCCTTCAACCCTCGTAAGATAAAGCACAGAAAGGGGCGCTGTTTCTACCCAGAGGAGATGCCGCCTTTTTTGTGTTTCTCACAAAGACACCATGCCTGCTGACAGGGCCCTCGTGGCCCCCAACCATCTTTTGATCCTTATCCCCCTTCCCCCAACCGTGTATCCCACCCTCAAGGCCCTCCAAATTAGGCCATTCTCCCCCAAATACCCTTCCCTTTCATTTCTCCTAGTCTTTGTCTCCACTGTCCCTGGAATTCCCTTGCTCCTAATCTGTGTCTTGATCAGTGAGTGGCTTGCAGGTCACATCTGTGGTCTGACTGCCTTAGAGTCCCTGGTTTAAAAAATAGGTAGATTCCAGAATACTGGACAAGGGGACTAGATAAGGATATAGGTGAGGAAAGAGTGGCCACGAGTTGGTGAGCGCTGAAGCTGGGTGATGGGTACACGGGGGTTCACTATTCTGTCTGCTTTTTTGTATGTTTTGAATGTGTCATAAATAATCATAATTTTTTTCAAAAGAATAGCAATTCCAGGGTACCATTCCTAGAGCCTTTGATTCAGTAGGTCTGGTATGGGGTTCAGGAATCTGTACTTTCTTAAAACCTTCCTCAGGTGATTCGGGGACCACGGGTCTAGAAAAATTCCGCTCTGCCCTCAGAACTGTGTCAGATGCCCCGGCTCTGGGAGCCCTCCCCTGACCACCCAGCCTGCCGTGGGGGTCTTGCCTTCCCTGAGCGACAGCATCTCTCTGGATCAGGCTGGTCCCCTTTGCCAACCTTGTATTTTCACTTAAGATACCTATTCTGTGATATAGAACTCCACGCAAGCGTGCTTACCTGGCTGGCCTAGGATGGTACCCTGCTTGTAGTAGGTGTTCACGAAATACTTGTTCTAGTCTCTAATGCTCCAGAGACTTCCAGTCTAGTGGGTTGCTACCTCATACACGTGCACTTTTGAAAGTCTGTGTTGGAAGCATCTGCAGCACACACACACAGTTTATTTTTTCTTTGCCCCTGAACGGCCCCCCTTCCTTTTTCTCTCTTGATTCATAGATGAATGAGGACCATGTGATCTCTCTTTCCCATGCTGCTTTGTTTGAAGCTTCCAGCACACGGGCTAGATGGTATGTGTGTCTGCATATTCGTCTCTGGCTGTTCCGAAGCCCAGGTGGAGACCATATTTTGGGTGGTGCAGGGGTTTATCTGGGAGATTGGCAAGGCCAGATTTTGCAGGGGGAGCCTCGCTGCTGAAGTTGAGATAGAATTTTCCTGCTGGAATTTATACACAAACTAATCAGCAGCTAATTGGCCAGGGCTCAGGAACTAAGGGAAGAAGTCGTTTGCCTGACTGGGGGCTCACACTTGAAGTCGAGCCCAGGCTGACAGGCTCCCTTTCCTCTGGGCCCTCTCTGCTCAGGTTCCCCCCATGGGCGGCACAGGGCACTGTCTCTGTGTCCCCTGCCCAGCATTCCCGAGGATCCTCTGTGTGCTGCAGTGGGAGCAGGCGTTAGCTTACTGTGTGTCCACGCTTCCTAGCTGTGGCTTTTAAAAATCTCTTCCCCTCCCTTACGCACTCACACATACCATGACGGGGGAGGTTTGCCGGGGTGGACTTTCTTCCGAAAGT